TGAGTAAGTTTGAAAGGAAAATCGAAAGGATCAAGGAATCCTTTGGTTCCACACCTTCATATGTATCAGATACAATAGAGACTGCCGATAAGTCATAGTGAAGGAAACCTTTGAAAGTATCCAGAGTATGCTTAGTCAAAACCACTCTCTTAGCAGGTGTTTGAGCATCATTTTTTAAGGTGCTAAAAATATTTCCACAAGTAAACCAAGTTGGGTAAGGCGGAAAAAACGCTAGACCAAAGTTAGCATTTGGTAGTTTTGGAAATTTAGGGGGTTGTAATTGAAAAGCTAGTTCATATCTATGTTCAGGCTTTATAGAAGATGGAATTTTAGGCTTGGAAGTTTTTTAGTAAATTTCTCTTTCAAATTTTTTACTGTGTCAAAAACAGTTCGACGAATATTATGTGGATCATAGACAGTTTCAAAGTATTTCTGGAACGCCTGAATTTCCTTGATGTGTGTGAACTTACCTTTTTGAAAATTTTCATGCACAAACGAAAAATCTTTCGTTAGACATTTGCTTATTTGAGTAGTGTTGAACACGTTCTTGGAATAAAATTAAGTCCACTAAGAGAAGAAACTTTTGGTTATATAGAAGGCTGGTTGAAACGAAGTGAGTTTGAATTAAGCAAAATTGGCATGATAGTTTTGGTACTTTGCAATATCTTGAAAGATGTAATCCACTCCTGCTATGTAAATCTCTTTCTTCCAATTGAAAATAGGTTCAGGAACAAGTTGGCATAATCCAAATTAGCGAGATGCGAAATTGGGTTGATAGGCGAATAAGAAAACATGGCTTTTCACTGGCATGATCCTGGAGATTAGAAGCCTTGGCAAAAGGAATTCTTGCCATATATTTTCGATTTTAAAATCAACATTCTGCAAAGCTTCTCCAAGGGGTAAAGTAAACCACGCAGGACCATGAGTTCGATAAGCAAAAAGAGTCGTGGTTGGGACAAAATCGTTACAATTTGTAAACATCATCATAAAGTTGGTGAGGCTTTTTTGGAGATTTTCCACTTCCTCATTCGGGGTTAACTGTAGAAGCCTGATTCTTTCGATGGTTCGGTTTGAAATTTCAAGGTCTTCTTCATAAATGGTCTTATAGGTGTTGAGTGATGGCTCGAAAGTGGCATTTAGCCACAGCTAAAGGAGCCAATATGGGCCAGCAAGGAGCAAGTTGGTGCCAGTTTCATAGTTTTTTAACTTGGAAGTCGCAAACCCTAAGCTCTCATAAAGACCAACTAAGAGTAACTCACTTAAGCATATCTTTCTACCAGAGTGTAATTGGTTATCTATGGTTAAAAATCTCCTGGCAACCTATAATGATTTGCAGCAAAAGATGTACTTTGATAGCCATAAGGTAAGGAAAGCTATGTGTTATATATCTGTGACTTCATCCACCTCAGTATGATACAGATTCATATAAGCAGTAAAGCTAGCATTTTTAACTTGAAAGTTAATAGTGTTATCTGATTGCAAATAAGGGTCAAAGGTTTCTCCAGTTGGAGGAAGTCCAGTTATTGCGGCTATGTCAAAAAGAGTGGGAGTCATCATCCCACAAGAAAGATGAAAAGTATTGTAGGTACTATCTCAAAAATATAAAGACGCTAATAGCAGAGGTTGGCAATAAATGAATCCCAATTTTGACATTTGGATTAAATCTAAGATACCCAAATATTTCCAATCTTGGGATTTTTTCTTTTCAATTTTTGAGAGCCAAGACAAATAGAGCTTGTCTAGTGAGGGGCATGATTGAAAGGGTTTAAAGTTTTCAATTATATAATATAATTGAAAACTTTCTCTCTTTATCTTGGAAACTTAGGTCTCCCCAGAAGTTTTCTCTTTAGAAGCTTCTATGTGTTTCTCAGCAGAATCGTCATCATTTTTCTTGGGAGGATTGACTTTATTAGCTATTGGTTTGGTTTCATGATAAACAGGAAAAAATTCTACAGACTTTTCCAGATTTTTAGCAGAAATCAAAGGTCCCATGAAACATAGGGTTTTATCAGCAAGGGAAGAAGGAATGAGTACCTGAGAAGCATAAATAACTTTTTCTTCCGGAGTGAATTTGGGAGTGGAGATAAATTCCCGATTTTCAAAGGTCACGAGTTCACTAGCAAGTCCAAATTGAAGCGTAATATTTTTTGAAGTTCCTTTTCCTTTGGTGTTTTTGGATGATTATTATTTTTTAGATGACGATATTGTTGAAATAAGCGTTAGATTGAAATTTAAAAAATGGGTTTTATTTTGAATTTTTTGGAAGATTAAGAGTTTCAGAAATGGAAGTGTGAAGATGAAGATAAAGGGGTTATAAAAGATTTATAGTACTTGAAGAGTCTACGCTATAACAAGTTAGTGGGACACGTGTGTTTTTGTTATTGGAAGAAGGAGAAATTAAGTTATTTTTCTTTGGGAACTGTTTTATAAATGGTAATGATGAACTGCTATACGCACGTCTGAATAGACGTTTGGAAAAAGGTGATTACTTTTTATGACATTACAACAGTGAAAGATTATCATGAGTATATGGTCTATCGAAATTCAGGATTAATATTCAAAAATGACTATTTCTCTGTATAACGAAATACACATTTTTGAGGGCAATTTGTTGACTGAGAATTTTGATTACATGAGTTCTTAAATACATTGATGTATTCTAGAAGAAAGGAAGTTCGAAAGAAAATATGAAGGAGTTTTTATGAAGACTTCGATAGATGAAAAGCTAGCAAAGGTTTCTTTTTTATCAAATTCTGTCGAAAGATTCATTTGTGAACTATTGAAAATTAAGTTTATTCGAAGCATCATAAGAAAAGATATTTCGACAATCACATTAGTTGATTTGCCGCTTCAAAAAGGAAGAAATTTTGAATTCGAAAATTTGATCTTATCTAGAAAAACACGTGGAAGTTTATTAGGTTCGAAAGACATGCAATCTTCGAACGTGACACTCTATTATAAAAAGACCGTTAGGGTCAAAATAGTATAAATAAGGGTCTTAGTGTTAGGATTCAGGGGTGTTCATTTTGTACAAACTACTCAATATACTCAAAGTATCAAGTTGTTAGAGAAAAGAGTTGCAGGAAATGTACGTATAAAATCCTATTATTGTTCTTTTCGATTTATCTTACTTTATCAATACCAAGTTTTTTAATATTCCCAGTACTTATCTTACTTTTTAATCGAAACTCTTTGAAATCTTTACATTTATTTTCTACTTCTTTTATGTTTCTTTACATTTTCAGTCGAGGCCCTTACATTATTCATTCAAAACTTTCTTATTCGAACTTACTGTACATCGTATCTCTAATCTTACTGTTATCAATAAAATAATGTTAAACATAAACTTTATTACTAGTTCAAACTTAAGAACTTAGATACATGTCCTAGGATCAATCTAGTTGATCCTGCAAGTTACTAAAGTATTTAATTTGAAAGACTAGCGATTGTTTACCAAATTTACGCATAAACAACAACGTTCTAATATGGAAAGGGAAATTTCACATGTGCACATCCGAATTCACCTTTTAGGATGTTTCATATGTGCACATGTGAAACTCCCTCAATATTTTAAAATCTAACGTTTAAATATTAAAATGTGTAAAATAAGAGTGTCTTCGCCTATGCACATCTGAAATATCCTTATATGTGAATTCGTAAATGCACGTGCAAATGATATTTTTAGATTTTCAATCCTGAAAACTATCACTATTAAATATATAGAGAAATTTCCGTTAAAAAACTCAAATGAATTTGATGGATAACGATGCTCTTAGTGTAAAAGTGAAAGTTGGTTCCTCTAAGCGGTTTGTACTTATTTGTTCCAAAAACATTGGATTCCTTGGTGCTCATTGTTGAGACAGTATTTTTCAAAAAATTGAAATAAATTTGTCGACGGAAACGACGCAATCATCATGGCCCAAACGACAGCATCATTTGAGAATAAATAATTCAGACAAAATGCTGCTTATTTTAAATTATTTTTAAAGCAACTTTAATCCCTATAACGTGCTCAAACAGCAATGAATTCTTCAAATTGATTTTAAAATCCCATAAATATAAAAATAAAATAAAATAAGCCAAAAAAAATGATAACGGTGGAATTCAAGTAATCATACTCCCAACCCACTCCTCCCTCCACCATCTCTTTAATTTCTTCATTATCCTTTTCTTTTTTTTATGCATACGGTTTTAAAAAACTGTGTCCCCGGACGCGATAAAATCATATCAACAAATATTTGAGAAAGGATTCAGTAATTTTGTAACGGGAAAGTTACTGTAAATTTAGTGCATTTTGTGTTGTGTGAGAAAAAATAAAAAGGATTAATATAGAAGATGAGAGAGAATAAATTAGAGGAGAAATAGAGACAAAGTTATTGTGACTTTGGTTCTCTAAAGTCATCCAAGTCTGATATTCATATTATTATTTATAGTTTTTATGTTAAAAAATAAATTATAATAAATTTACACTGCAATGATCAAAATATAAGGTAAAATTACAAAATACATGATCAAAAATATCAAATATATCATATAATTATTATTGGAGAGGAATGAAACCACTTAATAACAGAACTAAGCTCTAAATCAAATTAGTCTGATAAAAGAAATATCAAACATAAAGATAACTTCTAAATCCATGTAGCATTCGTTGGATCAAAATCCAATAATTTTCTTTAAAAAAATGAAATGTTTGACTAAAATCTAGTTGCATAAATTAACAACATTAAAAGTATGCGAAATCAATCTAAGTAAATTTATTTCATTACACATGAACCATCCTTATATGTATAATAATTAAGAGAAGAACATTACAGTTTCTTGATTGATGTTCATTTTTCATCACTCCAAATTTAACATAAGCTTTGATTTTAACGCACAATTCGAAAAACTTTAACATATGTAGCATTATTATATATAAATATATAATATATTATTAATGTTCATAATATGACTTACCATGAAATTAAAGAGACATTAACTCATCTTCACGATTAGTGTTAATCGACAAGTACAGCTTCACTTTTCTCCCCTTTACCGGTCCTTCTCCGGCTGGTGGTTGCAGCGGCGGAGACATCATCATGGCGGAGGTTACCGTCGTCGAACATCAACGGCAAATCGTTGGCATCTTCCACGTCTTCTTTAGTAGCGATGCGGATGCAAGAGCAACGATTCAAAGAAGCGAAAAAAGCCATTGTAACGCCGTTGACGAACCACATAGCTACCCCATCGAACTTTCCACCGCAACCTGGAGAAGAGGTTTGACTGGAGGAGTCGCGGACCCTGTATGGCCGATCGGAGGAATTTGATGATCGGAAATTGAAGAAACTGCCGCAGGTGGTGGAAGAGGTAGTGGCGCTGGCAGCCATGTGGAATTAGGTTGGAGCCTATAGGTTAAAATGACCACACCTCGAGCAGATATAGGAAGGAAAGTGAAAGAGTTTTTTAAACAAAAAAAAATGGTTTAATTTTTGGTACAATGGATTAGTTTCTTATTATAAAATCAAAACAAATAATTTATTAAACAATGCCTAAATTAATTAATTAGTTAATTTAATAAATATATAACTATTCTCAAAATAATTTTCTTTTTTTTTATGAGTTTCTTAAGACAGTGCCTAAAAGATATATAATTACTTATTAGAGTGTAAATTTTGATTATTAATATTAAAAATAAATAAGTAAGGAAATTTTTCACATGTCTAAAATTACACTTCGGATGTTATTTTAGTCTCTAATTTAATATATAAAACTTTTTTTCTCTTCTTTTTTCTCGGCATGATTCTCTGACGTGTTTAATAGATTTTTCTGATCTCTTCCCGAGAACATCTCTTTTCCAGTTACCAAACCCCATCCAATCACTGTTTCAATCCTGCAAAATTCTTCGACTTCCACCAAATCGTTCGCACAGTCTCTTAAAGGGTATGTGACATTCCGATTTCGCTGCTTCCCCAACCTGTAATCAAAGGTGACCACCCCTCCATCACCATACCGAAAGAAGAATACTTAGCATGTCTCAATGAATACAAGAACAATCTCCATGGTTGGGTCCTCTGGCGAAAAAGCTCAACGTCTCTCGCAGTTGTAACTCTTAGAAAGAAACTCTCATTGATTTGGGCTGATGTTAGAAAGTGGGGTGTGTAGTCTCTTGGGAAAGGGTATTATGAGTCCACATTCTCTAATGTTGAGGATATGAGAAGAGTCAAAGCTACATGTTCGATTAATTTAAGCCCTGGTTTGTTGAAACTCTTCGCTTGGTCGAAGGATTTTAACCCCTCCTCGCAGAACAACACATCTGCTCAGGTTTGGGTAAGTGATCGGTGGTTTTTACACAATTATTTACCATTGTTTTTTGTTATCCTTTATTTTTATTGACGAGTGTTTTTTTTCATTTTGCCACTTTTTATGCGTTGGTTTTGTGTTTTAATGTTTTCAGGTTCAAAAGAATAAATCAGGACAAATCGGTGCAAAACTTAGAGTTTCAAAAGAAATGCAAATATACATCTACAGGAAGCCTGGCACGGCCACCCGTGTCACCTGACACAGGCCGTGTCAGGATGATAGCTAGGACGAGAGCCAGGAATAGGGGAAGTTAGGGGTGTGACACGGGCGCCGGTGTCAGAGTGCCTGAACCAAGAATTCAAGAATTAAATTTCCAGATGTCCAACACAGGCACCCGTGTTGTCTGACATGGCCTGTGTTGGCTTGCGACGCTGATTTCAGTATTTCAGGTTATTTTGTTCATTAGTTGGCTTGTGAGGGTGTTTTGGGTATTTCTAACCGACCTAAATGAGTTTTTGCTATTTATAGGAGTTTCCACGATAAATTGGAGAACTTTTGACTGGAGAAGATTAGGAACAATAAAGATTGGTGTTGTCAGGAGATTTGGAGACATAGGTTTCTTTATGAGCGATAGCAATTGAAGATCGGAGAATCCATACCTTTTGTAATATCTAATTTTATTATTGCTTTTCTTTGAATAATATGAGTAGCTAAAACCTCAATGTTATGGGGCGTCCCTGATTTGAATCTGTAATTACTTTGAATTTATGATTTTATCAATTCCATGGTTTTTACTATTCAATTTAATTATGTAATGTTTTTATGCTTTCCCGATCGAACCAATTAGGATTGATTTATGGTTAACAACCAGCTGGACCGCAGTTGTTAAGGTTTTTGTACGATTAAACTATAGTAGATATTAGCTAGGACTAGGGATACCCTATAGTTATCTGTTAACTCTTGATAAAACAAAGGCTTGATTTCATCATAACTTTCTAAGGACTTAGGATTTAGGATGAATGTTCAAAGCTTTTACCACTAAGGACTTAGGGGAAAATAACCTAAAGGGATGGTAGTTGATATTATGAACTTGTTGAAGAAATCAGGATTCAAAGTTGTTACAGGGCAAATTATACACTTTACCTAGCATGTTCCTCATACTAGTAAAAAGCCAATTTATATTTCTGTTTATTTTTTAGTAACAATAACCAAACAAAACACCAAATTTAGTTTTTGTTTAATTGAACCACGAATTGAACTTGGTATTTCTGTGCAGTCATTGCGATCGACATTCAGAGAATTTTTCTTATTATTACAAGAGGCAAAATAGTACACTTGCTATTTTTCTGATCAGTAAGATTCTTTAGATTATCTCAGGAATATTGGAGACCTCATATTCTTTTTTCCGTTGCTAGTTGGGTTAGGTCACCAATTTGTATTGATGCTGCTTCTTCTAAAGCCAGGGTTGATAGAAATTTCGGCTAGTTTGTACATGTGCTGATAGATATGGATTTAACACAACCAATCAACTATAACTTCCTTGTGGAACACGAAGGGTTTGCGTTTTTTCCAGATATTGAATATGAAAAGCTTCCTAAGTTTTGTTCACACTGCAAGAGAACTGGGCATGATGTGCAAAATTACAAGTTCTTAATGAAGTCCTCTACTCAACAGATTGCTAAACCTGAGGTTGTTTATGTGCCAAAGCCTCCCTCCAAACCTCTGGTTGATCCCTAGGAGCCTTGCAATATTGATGTCAGCCATTTCGAGCCTTGTAATGTTGATTCTAACCATATTTCCAAGTCTTGGAATGATGGTCCTGTTCTAGAATTAGGCCATCCTGTTCCTAATCCATCCCTAGTGCCAGAGCAGATTATTCATAATCCTTTCAATTTCATATCTTTGTTGTCTACTGAATCAAAATCTCAACTGACCACCTTTCTGGATTCCTCTTTTGTTGCAAAGGTCATGGATAAAGATGCAGCTGCCAATGTTTCCACTGTTGATGATGCAATTTTCCTAAATAATTCGTGGGCTAACTTAGCAGAGTTAGGTGAGGATCATATCCCTGACGAGGGTATCTTCACTTCAGTGGTTTCCAATCTTAAAAATAAGCAATCAGTTAAGAAAAAGCAGCAGTATACTACAAGGTCTCAAGCAGGACTAAAAAATCTTTCCTCATGAAGTACATTTATTGTAATATTAGAGGGTTGGCTAATGCTTCTTCTAGATTAGCCTTGAAAAGACTCATCAAATTACATCACCCTGATTTCATCTTCATTGCAGAGGCTAAAATAGATTTTGCAAATCTTCTGAATAATTGGTTTCATAACTTAGGTTTTAAGCTTTTTGCTTCCAATATTAAACAACAACCTTCTTTATGGTGCTTATGCTCTATGGATTTCTCCCCTACTCTCATTTCTTCTTCGGGTCAATTCGTGGCCTTCTCCTTTGTTATGGACAATAATGTTTTTGCTTGTGATGGTGTATATGCCTCCACCAACCTTATTAAAAGGCGTGATCTTTGGGAGGACCTTCAAAACCTTCTTTATTTGCATTCTCTTCCATGTTCTTTTGTGGGGGATTTCAATGCGATTATTGGCGCACATGAGCATCGTGGCAAACAAAACCCCGCTCGAAGACCTATGTTGGATTTCAAAAACTAGTCTGATGTGAATAATCTGATTCATTTTCCCACTTCTGGTGCCAGATACTGTTCGCCTCTGGTTTTGGAAAAAAACACTGGTCTCTTAACAAAAAGTTTACTGGCGAGATCGATCAAGGAATCTCAGTACCGTGCTTCAGTTTTCGAGTGTTTTCACAAAGTATGTTCAAAAAAGATTCGTTCAACTAGTGCCAAACGAGTTTATAAGCAATAAAGGAAGACTTATAAAATAAATAAAAAAGACATTTTAAACTGTAAATATAAATGATATAACATCAAAATAGTTGAAAACAGGTTGGTTCAAATGTACATTGCCCTAGCTTGACTCATTTCGCTCGTTCGCTTGGGTATTTTGAGTGAGTAGCGTATAAGAATGTGAAAGTTTGACCTCTTACACTATGCACTAAGTGAATTATTTATAATACATGAAAACTAACTACTTTATGGCATCCACAAGCCCAATTGACTACTTATGAAATCTCTTTCGGTTGACTGCTTTTGTGGTCGACTTCTCATAAATCAAAGTTCTCAAAGCTCCTTTTTGGCTTTTGGTTGTATTTTAATTTGTGTGAAAAATCCTAGCCAACAGATACACGTGGTCCAACAAGAGGGATTCTTATTTTTATGTTGAGATACATCTTGACAGTTGTATTGGTAATCAATGATGGCTTGACATTTGTACAAAAATCTCAGTCTCCACTTTGTCTAAAGTTGTCTCCCATTGTCGAACTCTCGGGTGCAATGCTTGCAATTGAGTTCTCTCATGAGAGGAATTGGAATTTTGTTTGGCTGAAAACGAACTCGAAGGTAGTGGTTAAAGCTTTCAATCCTCTATTTAGTGTGCCTTGGTTAATTAGAAATCGTTGGCTTAATTGTATCAATCTTGTTTCTAAATTGAATTTTGTTGTTTCTCACATTTTTAGAGAAGGGAATAGTTGTGCAGATGCCCTTGATAACTTAGGATTAGCTTTAACTGATATTACTCACTTTTCATCTATACCCATGTGTATTCACTACAACAAATAACATTTTTCATGAAGAAGCTTTCACGTCAACCAGAAAAAAATAGAGGTTTTTCACCAACGCGCCCCATATAATTATTTTAAAAAACAACTTGAGCCCTCATTTATCTAGAAAACCACGACGAAATACCATTCCGGACAAGCTTCGAATCCCAGCTACGACACTTTATGTTTCTATTTGTAAAAAAGTGTAAAGTAAATGATCTAACCCTTCGGTTTCTTTAATAAACCAAGGGATAAATAATCCGATTTGACTATAAAAACACTCGTTGAACATATTTAACTCTAATTTTATCTTATTTGTAGCCTCCCCACCATTTTTTTGGGATGGATTGTAAAACTGGAAAAAAATGTTCTTCTACCTTGAGCAAAACATTTTTTCAACTTTTGTGATCCATCT